CCCCGCCCTGTGCCCCGCCCTGTCCCCAGCCATGTGCCACCAAGTGCGCCCCGCCCTGTCCCCAGCCATGTGCCACCAAGTGCGCCGCGCCGTGCCCCGCGCCCTGCGCCCCCGCCCCCTGTGCCACCAAGTGCGTGACCAAGTGCGTCCCCACCTGCGCCACGCCCTGCGCCACGCCCTGCGCCACGCCCTGCGCCACCAAGTGCGTCCCGGAGCGCTCCTACACCTTCTCCACCCGCTGGAAGCACCCGTGCCAGAGGGGCCTCTGCAAGAAGATCTGAGCGGTTTTTTTGGGGGGAAAGAACCACGGAAAGGAACGAGGGGAAGAAGCGAAGGAATACGGAATGTGATCCGAAGGCTGCCGGAGAGGGAAGCGCCGCTGGAAACCAGGACCCTGCGTTTTAAGTCTAGGATAGAGCTTTAGTTTAGTTCAGGCTTTTCTTTCTTCTTGGGGCTTTGCATCTTCTGCCTGTGCTTTGGACTTTCTCTGCCCAGTTCGACACCCAGCGTGGATCGGAAACGAGGGATTTGGGGAATGGTAGGGATTGGAAGGTCTCGGAAAGTGCGAGGGGAGGGGGTGTCAGGCTGGAAGGGGTCAGGCTGGAGCCGGTGATTGTGATTTTGGGTGATTTTGGGCGATTTTGGGCTTTTCTCAGGGTAAGCTCCTCTTTTGTCTTCATTATTCTCTCTGCAAATGTTCGACTCCACTTTGCATTCCCATTAAAATGCTGCTGCATCAAACCTGTCCCGAATTCCCTTTTTCCTCTGCTCCTTGGGCTCTCTTGGGGACAACTCAGCCTTGGATAGAGGGACAGGAGACCTCCAGGCTCTTCCCGGACCACTCCAAACTTGAAAACCGTGGTAAAAAAATTTAAAGGTAAAATTTAGGGTTAAACTTTTGGGATAAAATGCTTTATTCCTAAAAAAAAACCCCTGGCTCTGCATTTTCTGGGATAAAAAGATTTTATTCCTAAAAAAACCGGCTCTGAATTTTCCAGGATAAAACCTCCAGACTGTAGCAAAATGGGAATTTTTAGCATCCTGTTCATACCCAGCCCCATTTGGAGACTTTTTTCCCCTCTAAACAAAGGGAACTGAGGAAAACCCAAGCTTTTCTCCACATTTCTGCATCCAGACTTTCCTGAACTGCTTTTCCACGGAGTCTTCTCCACCTCTCCGCCGTGACAGGGAGGGACACGGAGCTTTTCTGGACCAGAGCCCCAAATTCCAGGAGCCGGTGCCAGCAGCGGATCCCTGCAGGCAGTTTGGGATGCCAGGCGTGTCCTGCTCATCCCATTCCGAGCCATTCCAGGCGCTGTTTTTATCCTAAAGATCACGTTCGGTTCGTTCTTCCCTAATGGCCACGTTGGAGCCCGCGCTGGAATTCCGGGTCATTCCCGCAATTACTCCAGCCCCAAAATATCCCGGAGCTTCCGCAGAACAAAGGGAGCCGGGGATGCTTCCCAAACACTCCCAGGCTGGATTACGCCAGGACCTGGAATGTTAATTTAATGTTAATCAGCTCTTATTTGGGTTAATTGCCCTAAGACTGGAATAATCGATTTGGGGGGGGGAAAAAAAAAAAGGTCATAATTTTCATAATTTCATCATTTCATGGTTTCACGCGTTTTTATTTCTTTATCTGCTCCGAATATTTTATTTTTTCCTTTTAGTAAATTGATTATTCTCACCCTAAAGTTGCTCTTCTTTCATTTTATGGTGTCAATAGCTGAGATTTGGGAGTGTTTCCCATCGGCTCAAAGTTTAAAGAGGGGGCTCCCAAAATCCATTGGAATCCCTCTGTGGAATTCCAAAAGCTCGCTCTCTTCGTATTTTGAAACAAATTGGGGATTTTTAACACTGAAAAAACAATATATCCAAGCTAAATTAAAATAAATAAAATTGTATTGAGAACCAAACCTCAAGTTACCAGGCTGAAAAAATTCCATTTCCAGCAATTTTTCCCCTTTAATTCCTCACCAAATTCTTTGGTAAAAGGGAATCTCCAATTTATTTGTGGACATCCTTGAAAAACTGTAACATTTAGAGGCAAAAAAAAAAAGGGATAATTGAGGGGAGAGGTAAAACAGGAAAACCTGTGGATAATCCAGCTGTGGATAAACCGCTTGGAAAAAGCCAGGAATCCCTCTTCCCTAAATCCCTAAATTCGCTAAATCCTAAATAAAAATTATTAATAAATAATATAAATTTATTACATTTTTTTACATCAGTGCTGAGACTTTAGGGAGAGCGGGGCTTTATTAAATAATTATTAAATCCCTATTTATAGACTAGATAATTGCTGCCCTCTGGGAATCGCACGGATTTCCTGGAGGAGCCGGGATGGGATCCCGCCCTCGGCGTCTCCCGCCACGTCTGACATAAATTATGGGATTTCCTCAACGCCTCGGTGTGGTTTTGATGTTAGAAATCTCAGGATTAACACATTTTACCTCGTTTATTCTAAATAACGTTTAATTAATTTAAATGATTCATTAAATTACTAAATAAAATTATATATAACTAAATAATAAATAAATAAATAAAATAATTTAAGTAAATAAATATTAATTAAATAATAAATTAAGAAGAAATCCAAGAGATTTGGATGCAAACAGAGAAGTTTATTGGGATAAAAGTGGAAAAAACACAAGTTGCATTTGATCCGAATTAATAATCTAAATATCTAATTAATTAAAACTATTGATTTTCATCTCATTTTTCCAGTTTGGGTCAAAGGGTCTGGAGCAGGTGAGGCTCCTCCTGTCAGGCCTGGAGGTATCCAAGGAAAAAACCCACAAGTGGGCAAAATGCCTGATCCCAAACAATTAAACCCATCCACGGACAAATTCCTGGGAATTCTGTGGCCTGACAGCAAAGAATGGGAAAACAATTCTGGGTTTGAGGAGGGAAAAGGCAAACTCGGAGAAAACTGACATTAAAAACAAGAGACAGGAGAGGAAGAGCAGCTCCCAGGGGGGCTGAGGAGGTTCCAGCAAGGCTGAGGAGATTCCAGGAATGCTGAGGGGTTCCCATGGATTCTGAGCAGCTCCCATGGATCCTGACCAGTTTCCGTGGATCCCGACAAGTTTCCATGGATTCTGAACAGCTCTCATGGATTCTGAGCAATTTCCATGGATGCTGAGCAGTCTCCATGGATTTTGAGTCATCTCCATGGATCCTGACCAGTTCCCGTGGATTTTGACCAGTTCCCATGGATCCTGACCAGCTCCCATGGATCCTGACCCGTTTCTATGGATCCTGAGCAGTTCCCATGGATTTTGACCAGTTTCCATGGATCCTGACCAGCTCCCATGGATCCTGAGCAGCTCCCTTGGATTCTGAACATTTTCCATGGATTCTGAGCAGTTCCCAGGGTCCCTCCAGCCTCACGGAGCCGTGTCCCCCTGCTCAGCTCCCATCTCCATCCCCCCCCGCTTTCCCCATCCATCCATCCATCCCCTTTTCCCGACTCAGCAGGGCCCGCAGCTCCCGGAGCGCCGGCTCCAGGCACTCCTGGGGGAGCAGGAGGAGAAGAAGCCTCCGTAGACCCTGGAGCCCTGCAGACCCACGGGGCGCTCTATTCCCGACGGGAATGCGGATCCCACGATGCTCTCCTGCGGGCAGGAGCTGAGGATGGGCCCCGGTAAGGTGATGACCACGGGTGGGGGGTAGATGACAGCCCTGGAGTCCCCGCAGGAGGTGACACAGGGCTGGCTCCAGGCGTCAGCGCAGGGCTGGGGACAGGAGACGGCGCAGGGCGCGGAGCAGCGGGAGCTGAGCTGGCTGGAGAAGGACATCCTGGCAGGAGAGAGGTGGAGCTGCTGCGGGAAGGAGAGGGGAGGGTTGGAAATCCGGGCGGCAGAGCCCCTGCTGGTATTTTTCTCTCTTTCGCTTCCTCCTGTCCCTCTCCCCCTTCCCTCCTTCTTTGCCTCCCTCCAAAATCTCTGATTTTTCTCTTTCTCCCGTCTTCCTGTCCCTCTCCCCTCCTTCCCTCCTTCCCTCCCTCCAAAATCTATCCAAAATCTCTGATTTTTCTCTTTCTCCCTTCCCCCTGTCCCTCTCTCCTCCTGCCTCCATCCCTCCCTCACTCCCATGCACCTGCTCCACAAAAACTCCTGTTTTTCTCTCTTTTTCCCCTTCTCCCTTGTCCCTCTCCCTCTCTCTCTCTCTCCCTGCCTCCTTCCCTCCCTTCCAGGCATCTCCTCTCCAAAATCTCTGAGGATTTTCCTCTTTTTCCCTTCTCCCTGTCCCTTTCTCCTCTCTCTCTCCTTTCCTGCTCTGGAAAAACTCCGATTTTCCTCCCTCTTTCCCTTCTCCCTCTCCTTCTCCTTTCCTCCCTCCTTCCCAAACAGCTCCTCTCCAAAAACTCAGCTTTTTCTCTCTTTTTCCTTTCTCCCAGCTCCTCCCTCCCTCCTTCCCAAGTCATTCCCTCTCCAAAAACTCCGGTTTTTCTCTTTTTCCCTTCTGCCTCTCCCTCTGCTCCTCCTCCCTCCCTCCCAGGGCTCTCCCAGTCCCCCCGAGGAGCGATTCCCACCCCCAAAGCACCCCCAGACTCACTCAGATCCCGGCGAGGAGAAGCCCGAGGAGCTGAAATCTCAGGAATCCGGAGCTGGGATGGGAGGAATTGGGAGCCGGGAGCCTTTTATCCCATCCCGGGATCGCCCGCGGGGGTTGAGACATCCCCGGCGTTTCCCAACCCTCTCCTGCCCGGGCTCCGATTCTTTTATCCGCCTCGGGACAATTATCAGTTTCTCCCAACACCCTCGGGTTTCCTCCTTGCGTTTTGTTTTGTTTTTCTTTTGGAAGCGGTTTCGCTTCCTGCAGCGTTTTGCTGATTCCACCAAGTTGGTGAAAATGTCGGGGAATGATTTTTTTCTCTGGAATTGCTCCACAGACAGGGACAGCTTCCATAGACCAGGTGGCTCCAGCCCATCCTTGGACGCTTCCAGGGGTGCGGAATCCATGGAATTCCATGAGCCAGGCCCTCACAGGGAGCAATTCCTTCCCAAAATCCCACCCAAATTCCCCCTCTGCCCCCCTGACCCCATTCCCCGTGTCCTTTTCCTGAGGAAAGGCCCCTCTCCAGCTTCCCTGGATCCCGGGAACTCAACATTCCCAGCCTGGATCCAAAGGGGATGGGCTCCAGTCCCCTGAGCAACTTCATGGCTTGGGGGACACCAGAACCGGGCACAGAATTCCCGCTGGGATCTCCGCAGGGCAGAGCACAGGGGGCGAATCAAACACCGGGACCCAAAACGAAGGATTTTAGGGATTATTTGGGTTGATCCCACTGGGTTTCTCAGGGAGGTTGGGACAGGGGTGATTTCCAAGGAATCTGTGATTCACCTGCCGGGAAGTGACGCCTCTGTCACCAGGACATCAAGCGAAACCAGGTGTGCTCGGGGCAGGAGCAGCTCCCGAGGGCTGTGGCCCCGCAATTTCTCCTTCCTTCTTTTCTTCCTAATCCTGGTTTGGGTGAATCCTCTGGGCTGTAAATTCCAAGGGTTGGGAAAACTCAGGGAAAGCCCAGGAAAGGCTCCCTCAGGCTTCCTACCCCAACAGTTTCCAACGGGAAAACTGGAATAAAAATGGACGTTTTGGGGACGGAATTCTCAGGGCTACTCAAAGCCCCACTGTTCGGTTCATAACTCCATAAAGGGGAGGGGGTTTGGAGGGGAAAAGCTCATTTCTTGAGGAAATTTGGGAATAACATTGGGCATGGAAGACGTGGAGACACAACAGGAAATTTAATCCCTGAATGACTGGAGAGGGGGGAATCTGGGCAATAAATCTGCTGAAGTTGCAGCCAAACCTCTGCATCAGCTGGAGCTGCACCTGGACATTCCCAGCTTTTCCAGGGGTGATGCACAGATCCCCTCCCTGACCTGGCTCACCCCAATCCCTGAATCCTCCTCGCTCAGCAGCGCTGATCCCATTGATTCCCTAAAGAGTGGATTTCTCCTGGAAAACACCCAGGTTGCTCCACCTGGACATTCCATGAAGCTGGGAGTGTTCCTTGGCCAGGAGGGTGGGAACGAGCTCTTCCCATTCCCAGATTCCTTAGGAAGGCGCCTGCGGACCAACGCGCCTCGGGTCGGAGTCACTGTGGGTCAATAACGGGAGAAATTGCACAATTCCCTTTTCCTCGGAAAACGCGGGGTGGGATCCGAGCTGTGTCAGCACCCGCTGCTGACGGATCAAGCTCTGAGCAATCCCCGCTCCGTGAGGCAATCCCAGAAGTAAAGGGGGGGGGGAAAAAAGCAGCAACAATACAAATTAAAAATAAATCATTACATCGCCTGAGTAATGCCGTGGATGTAACAACAACAGTAATAATTGCTGAGCAAAATAATTACTTTATCTGGGGCAGTGACAGGTGGAGGGAATTTTTCTTGGATCATTCATCGGCCGTGGATGTTTCTGATTGCCCAAGAAATGGTATAAAAACACTCTCGGCTCTGGGCTGCTCCAGCCAATTCTCCCGACTCGCTCCGAGCTCCACTGGGGTAAGTCCGAGCCTGGAATTGTTCCTGGAACTGTCGGGATCCAGAATTGTGGGGCTTTGCTTGGATCCAGAATTGTGGGGCCAGCAGGCCCAGGGCAGGGATTGGGATTTACTGTTCATTTTGGAGGTTACTGTTAATTTTAGGGTTTACTGTTAGGTTGGGGGTTTACTGTTAATTTTAGGATTTACTGTTACATTTGGGGGTTACTGTTAATTTTAGGATTTACTGTTAGGTTTGAGGGTTTACTGGTTATATTGGGGGTTTATTGTAAATTTCAGGATCTACTGTTACTTTGGGGGTTTATTGTAAATTTTAGGATCTACTGTTAATTTGGGGGTTTATTGTTAATTTAGGGGTTTATTGTAAATTTCAGGATCTACTGTTACTTTGGGGGTTTATTGTAAATTTTAGGATCTACTATTAATTTGGGGGTTTATTGTAAATTTTAGGATATACTGTTAATTTAGGGGTTTATTGTAAATTTCAGGATCTACTGTTAATTTGGGGACTACTGTAAACTTCAGGATATACTGTTAATGTGGGGGTTTACTGTTAATTTTAAGATTTACTGTTAATTTTAGGATTTACTGTTACATTTGGGGGTTTACTGTAAATTCTGGGGGGGTATTTTTGTGTCTAATTGACTCCACAATGAAGAGTCGTCAGAAATGGGAGACAAGGACACGAGAAGACGGCGGAAGCCAAATTTTGAGCCTCTCCCTGACCTTTTTTCCACCCGTTCTCTCTCTTCCCAGCCCGACCTCCGTTCCATCGTTCCAGAGCCATTCCCAGGAGATGTTTTCCTACAGACAGAGCTCCAGCTCCAGCTGCCTGGCTCCCTGCGCAGTCTCCTGTCCCCAGCCCTGCGTGGACGCCTGGAGCCAGCCCTGTGTCACCTCCTGCGGGGACTCCAGGGCTGTCATCTACCCCCCACCCGTGGTCATGACCTTCCCAGGCCCCATCCTCAGCTCCTGCCCCCAGGAGAGCATCGTGGGGTCCTCGGCGCCCTCCGGGAACTTCTTGGGATCCGGGAATTTCCTGGGATCCGGGGGTTCCTACGGCTCCTACGGTTATGGGAGGTCCTACTCTTCCTACGGATCCTCTGGATACGTCTCTGGGAGCTGCAGACCCTGTTAAATATCCGAGGAATGAGCAGGAAGGAGCCAGGAGCCACCACGGAGCCTCCTCCAGAAATCCCGGCAATTCCCGGCGCATCCTCAGCGCCCTCGCTTTGATGTAAATTCCCTTTTTCTCACTCTTTTTATTCCTCCCCCGGCGGCTCCTGCAAAAAAAAAGCCCAAAAAACAACCTCGGGATCGCCTTTTCCATGATCCCTGGCTGGCTGAAAGTGGGGTGAGGTCCTGTCACCTTTCCCACGCCGTGGAACTCCAGGAGTCATCCCTGTGGAATGCCCAGCCCTGGAGCCATTCCTCCCTCCGTTTTTCCCCCATCCCCACCGCGATATTTCTCTCCCTCCTTTCTCATTAAACCGCTGCGCATCAAAATCCAGAGTTTTGTGGTTTTTATCCGTAATTTTGGGGGGGTTTTTCCGCCGTTCTGCAACTTTCGGTGCCTTTCCACACCTGGAAGGAGCCCGGGCGCTTTTCGGCGGCGGCACAAAGTCATTCCATGAGGGATAAAAGAGGTTTTGGAGCGCTTCCAGATCCACTCGGATCTTCCCTCAGGGCGGGCGTGCCTGTTCCCTGTTCCCAAAGAAAGTCAGGCACGGGTGACCCGGATTATTCCCGTCTCAATGCGTGCCCCGGGCTGCGGTTTAATTCCATCCCCACACGGTGATTTTACGCTTTGTTTTTTTCATTGTTTAAAAATAACCCGGGGCGGGGAGGGGCCGGAGCTTTCCTTGGAAAACTTCCCTTGGAAAAAATCCCGCAGGAATTTTCAGCTGAAAAGCAAAATTTTTGGTGGAGTTCTGTGAGTTCCTTGAACTTTCCCACAAATAAATAAATAAAATTAAATTAAATAAGAGTTGTTGAAGTGTTCCCTGCAGAGCAACCCGCTCTCCCCCTGGCACAGCTTTTCCAGGGAATTTCTGCCTGCCTGGAAGTGTTGGAGCAACCTGGGATAGGGGAGGGAGTCCCTGCCCGTAAATCAAAGATCTTTAAGGCCCCTTCCAACCCGAACCATTCTCTGGTTCTGTGAAATCCCAAAGGACAATTCTTTAACCTTTAATTCCTTAATTCTCCCGGGGCTGGGAAGGAAACGAAAGAATCGCAGGAAAACGACCCCAAAACGGCTCAAAGTTTGGATTTTTCTCCTTTTTCGATCTCTGCTCTGCTCTGGAGCAGCCTCTGTTCCTTTGACCCCCGATTACGGAGCCAGTTTGATATAAAAATCATCATTTTCTGTGTCTGACCGCGACATTTCCTGAAGTTCTCAGTCTGAATTTGAAGGATTCAGGAGAGAAAAATTCCGACAACATCAGCTCGGGCTCCTGATCCATCCAAACATTCCCGGAATTCCCGGGAGCGGGAAGAAAACTCTCAGGATGAGAAAAACTCTCCTCCTGAACCCCAGAGGTCACTGCATCCTTCTCTTACCCCGTGCTCAGTCCCAGGACTGTGTTGTTAATTGTTCTTATTTGCAATCTGCGGCTGAGTCATTAAAGGCGTTGCAAACACAGCCTGAGCCGGATTCCAGCTCGGAGCAAATCCCGATGCCAATTAAAACCTCTCCTGTTTGATTTCCATACTTCATATAATGGGAAAAATATTTATTTAATGGGGTTTTAGGTGCTCCAGGCTGGAAAAATTATATTTAATGGGGTTTTAGGTGCTCCAGGCTGGCAAAATCTTTATTTAGTGAGTTTTTAGGTGCTCCAGGATGGCAAATTCCATTCAGGCACAAGGGGATGTGCCCTGCTGGATTCCAGCGTCCTTCCAGGGCCAGATTCCGATGGGATTGGCAACAGGAGGATTTGTCATTTTTATCATTTTGCAACTGGAGGAGCTGCACTTCAATTTTATTTTTTTTTGAAATGAAATTTTCCATCAGACGCACTGCAGGAAAGTTTCTTTTTTAGTTCATTCTCTCCTTTTTTTTTTTTTTACTTAAAACCCAAATAATTTAATAGGAATGTCAGGAATCTTTGATTTTTGCAGTGTTCAGGGGGCTTTGAGCAACCTGATCTGAGTGAGAGAAAGCTGGAGGGGTTGGACTGGATGACCTTGGAGATCCTTCCCAATCCAAACCATTCCTTGATTCCGTAATTCCTTGTGAAATAGAAAATAATAGAATAATTCTACCTGGCAAATTCCCTGTGTCCTGTCAGTTTTGTCCACAACTCTGGAATTCTGTGATTTTTAATTTTTATATATATATATATATATTTTTTTTTTAACCTTCAAAGGGCGGAAAGCTGGTCCTGAGGAGTTTTGTTATGGAAACATTTGGAAAACCCAGTAAACTCGGGCTGTGCTTCCTCCTCGGGGAGCAGCTCAGACTGGGAGAAGGGAAAAAAAGGGGAAAAAAAGGGGAAAAAAGTGGGAAAAAGTGGGAAAAAGTGAAACCAGGAGTCTGCTGTGTGATGCAACAAAGTTTTAATGAGCGAGAAATGCCCCTTTGCAAAGCCAGAGATCACAGAAGGTGGGAAATCCATTCCCAGACAATTTTGGGGAAAATCCATTCCCGGAGAATTTTCGGGGAAAGTCCAAAGTCCTGCTCCGAGATGCCCTCAGCTGGCTTCTCCCGGCTGAAGTCCAGGGATTTTGGTCGCTGTGGCTGAAATCCATAGGGAATGGGCTGTCCCACGCCGCTCCAATCAATCGGGAACGCCGGAACAGGCAGGGAGAGGAAACAAGGAGGAGGTGCCGAACAAGAAGCAGGAGAAAGATCGGGAATGTGAAGGGGGCCGTGGAAACGCCGACCCCTCATCCTCGTGGCCGTGGATTTGGGCATTCCCGGGATTCCCTGGAGGCTCCGGTGCTCTCAGCAGGGCCCGCAGGAGCCGCGAAGGAGGCGGCTGAAGCGGCGGGACGCGGAGGGCCAGCAGGAGCCACCGGCCAGCGCCGAGACCCCGTATCCAGAGCGAGCTCCGTATCCCGGGAAAACCCCGGAGCCGTAGAGACTCCCAGAACCCAGGGATGCCCCAAAGGCCGGCACTCCAGTGGATCCCACCACGGCCTGCTGCGGGAAGGAGCTGAGGATGGGCCCGGGGAAGGTGACCACCACCGGGGGAGGCTGGATGAGGGCGGTGGAGTCCGGACACTGCCGGACACAGGGCTCGTTGCAGCTGTTGGCCACGGGCTGCGGGCAGGCGATGCCGCCGGTGGTGGGGCAGAGGTCGTAGCAGGACATTTCCCGGCAGGGATGGAGGCGGTTCCTGGAATGCAGAGAAGGAGCTGCTGAAAAGGGGGGATCTGCGGGAAGGGCAGGGGGAGGTTTTGGGGGAGTTGGGAATGGGGGGGAAACATCCCCGGGGGGAAAGTTGGGGTGGGACGGGAGCAGGTTTGGTGTTGGGAGAGGTGGGATGGGATCAATGGGATGGGATCAATGGGATCAATGGGATCAATGGGATCAGTGGGATGGAATCAATGGGATGGGATCAATGGGATCAATGGGATGGGATCAGTGAGATCAATGGGATGGGATCAATGGGATGGGATCAATGGGATCAATGGGATGGGATCAGTGGGATCAATGGGATCAATGGGATCAGTGGGATGGAATCAATGGGATGGGATCAATGGGATCAATGGGATGGGATCAGTGGGATCAATGGGATGGGATCAATGGGATGGGATCAATGGGATCAATGGGATGGGATCAGTGGGATCAATGGGATGGGATCAATGGGATGGGATGGGATCAGTGGGATGGGATCAGTGGGATGGGATCAGTGGGATCAATGGGATGGGATGGAAATGGGATAGGAAAGAAATGGGATGGGGTGGGATAGACATGGGGTAGAGCAGGATGAAACGGGATGGAGATGGAATTAGGATGGAATGGGGTAGGATGGAGATGCAATAGGATGGAAGGAACACAATTCCTTCATCAGATAAAAATACGGATTTAAAACAGTTTTCCAGCTGGATATCTGGGCATAAAAGCCTTTGGTTTGATTTTTTTTCCCAGTAAAAAAATAGAAATATTATTTTATTTGCTGGGTCAGAGCATGAGTCTGCTTTCCTCCCTTTTGGCTGTGGTGAAAATAACCAAATAATTAAATATTTTTATATTTATATCCATAAAAATTACTAGAATTAAACTCTTCATCTGGATCATTTCACAGCTCAGGACATGGACAAATTTCCCTGATTCAGTCACGGACCGAAATGCAGGAAAATTCAGCATTTTAAAGCTTGTGCCATCCTGCATTTTCATTCTGCTGTCCATACAAGAATGGCCAAATACAAATAACAGGGGGAAAAATAATTCCTAAATAAAAAATGCCTCAAACCCTAGGTTTGGGTCCTAAAGCCTTGCAGTAAAATACTTGCCAGGATATTATAAAAAAATATAAAAATTTAAAGACTAAAAAGAAGAAGAAAGGAAAAATAAAGTCCTGAAAATTAATGTAATATCTGCAACTGGAATAAAAACAAAAAAATCAAAAGAGCAAAGGAATTCTGGAGCTGGGAGAGGAATGAAAAGGCATCGGACTTACCTGTTGGAGAGGAGAAAAGCAGGAGAATGATGGAAAAGCTCCGCAGAGCTGCTGCTTTTATACAAATCCTGGGATGCCCCGGGGCTGAACCAGGCGAGTCGCCACCTCCGACGAGCCCGAATCACTCCCCAGAGTGACGAAACTCTCCTGGCTTTGCAAAACCACCCTAAAAAAACCTCTGCCCAGCACGCTCGGCACATTCCAGCTCCCGGCTCCCTTTCATCTCGGAGCCTGACGGGGCAGCTCCATCCCACCCAGCGGGAATTAAATCCCATTTGCTGAGCATTTCCTTCATTAGCTTCCCCTAATGATTCTAATCGCAGGCCCAACCTGCTGCCGTGGACAGATTTGGGTTTAAGGGCTCCGGCTCTCGTCACTGCTCCCAAATTTTGCAATGGAATGCTGGGAGAGGTGGAAGGATTTTCCTCAATGCAGAAAACACCATATTTTAGCGCCTAAAATGGGGCTTAAATCAAAGTTTTTCTCCTGGAGGGATATCAGTGCGTTTTTCACAGATGAACATCACTCAAAACCCCTCATTTGCTGCTGGGTTATTAAATAAACACATTTCTACCAAAGTTACACTGAAATTGGGAGGTTCTTTTCCCCAAACTTCGGGATGTCCCCAGGGGATTACAGGAATAATTCCCCCCCAAATATTTTTGGGGTGTGTTTTTAAGCACTTCCCAAACACTCCTTAATAAGTTTACGCATGAAATGGGGTGTGATTGTTGCAATATAAATGTGTGGTTGTGTTTTACAGCCCAGCATTTTGAAACGTAATTAAAATTAGCCTTAAAATAAATATCAAAAATAAAACATAAAAAAAAAAAAATTGTCCAAGTGAATTCTTTCTGTTCCCTTCACCAGCTCATGGCTTCTCATCTTGGGATTTCAGTGGATTTGAAATTAATTTAATTTTTCATTTATTTGGCTGAGTTTCTCCTTCAGCATTGATGTTTTAATTCAGATTTTCTCTGTTTGTAGCCTGAACATCTGGGAGACAAAATACAGATGGCTTAAAAAATATCTGTAATTTCCTCTGAAAAGTTCTGGATGGTTTTATCCAAATCTGAGCCCCCACCGCACACAAAAGTTGTTGATTTCACAAAGATGGCATGGAGGTTTTTATCAATTTTTTTTATCTGCCACGGGTGAAGAGGAAAGGGAAAAAATCTTGCACCTTCAAGCAGATGAAAATGATGATTAACACCTGAGCCAGCATCATTATGTCAGCTAATGATGAGGCGCGCAAATGAAGCAGCAGAATCTGCGCCGTCACCCCGAATGCATTTCATGGAACGTTACCAGGCGTGAACCTCGGCCAATTAAAGTGCTGAGATGAAAGAAATCTTCGGGTTGTAATTTTGTGCTCCGCGCAGCGTCAGAATCTGAATCGACTCATAAACAGAAATATTGAGCAAAACTCTTTCGTCACCACCGGGGCGACCCAGGTGTGATAAACGCGTTAGTTGCGAGCCTCGGGTTCTCCGGAGGACAGGTCGAAAGTCCCTCCTTGAAACTGCCTGGAGTTCCACGGAACCCCGGAATTATTTAAGTTGGAAAAGAACTCCAAGATCACCTGGTTCAACACGGGACCAATCCCCACCCTCTCACTCAGACCAATGTCCCGGAATTCCTTGGACACCTCCAGGGATGGCCAATCCCTGAGCCCCCTCCAAGGCCTGGCCAACCTTTCCCAGGAGGGATTTTCCCAAATTTCCCACCCTGAGCTTCCCCTGGCACAGCTGGAGGCCGTTCCCTCTTGTCCTGGCCGTGTTCCCTGGGCTCAGATCCCAAATCCCTGCTGGAAAATCCCGGAATTCCCCCTGGATCCCCCTTTCCTCCAGGCTGAGCCCCCCCAGCTCCCTCAGGATCCTCCATTCCCTTTCCCAACCCCGGGCATTCTCCAGATCCTCAGTGTCCCCCTTGCCATGAGGGGTCCCAAAGCTGGACACCCAATTTTCCCATTTCCATGAGATTTCCAACCTTTTCCCGCCATCCCACGGAAGGTTCTGCTGGGTGACACCTGATGACCAACTCAAGGCTTGCCCTGACCCAAGGGTGGTGGCTCGGCCACCATCCGGTGTCATCACACGGATCCTTTGTCCCTTCCCTCCGGAAGCACCGCGGGATCTCCATTAGAGCCCGGCTTAAACCCAGCTTAAGGGTTCGTTTTGTAACCCGAGCTTCTCTTACCCTTCTCTTCTCCACCACAGATTTTTCTGACTGGTTTTCAGGTCCTGCCAGGAGGTAGAACATCCCCTCCGCCTGTCATTTGGATACCACAGGGGGAACTCTGGGTTCAGCTGGGAGTCATTCCATTTTTCCGGAGACAATGAAATAAAAACCAGATTTTTCACTGCTTTTTTTATTTTATTTTTTTAGGTAATCAACGCTGGGCACTGCAGCAGCTTTGGCCTTTTTTTTAAAAAAAAAAATCACATTTTTTCCTTCTATTTCTGGTCAGAAGATCTCTAAATGTGGCGATGTTCAAGAAATCCTTTTTGCAGCAGGAAAATGCGAACCCCGAGATCTTTTGGCAGCTGATCCAGATGAGGGAAAGTCCCTGTGAGATAAGGATCTGCCTGAGTCAGGAGGTGGCTTTGTGCTTTGCTGATGACATAAGAAGATAATGACATTAATGGTGCAGCGCTTTTGTTGGGTTTTAGGCTATTTATAAAATATGGGCGCAAATTCTATTTCTGTTTAACATCTCAATAAATTAAACAGAAGCAAAGGAGTCCCGAATGCCGGGGATAGGAAGTGAAAGGCTGAGGGAGCTGGGATTTTTCAGCCTGGAGAAGATTTGGTGGCCTAACTGTGGCCTTCCAGGACCTAAAGGGGGCCAAAGGAAACACGGGGAGAGACTTTCTAGAAGGGTCTGGAGTGACAGGATGAGGGGTAATGGATTCAAATTGCCAGAAGGGAGGTTTAGATGGGATTTTGGGAAGGAATTCTTCCCTGTGAGGGTGGTGAGACCCTGGCAGAGGTGATTCCATGGCTGCCCCATCCCTGGGATTGCCCAAGTCCAGGCTGAAGCCACCTGGGAGAGCGGAAGGTGTCCCTTGATGACCTTCAAGGCTCTCCCAACCCAATTCTACGATTCCATGACCACTCGTGAGGTCCTTCTTGTGGATTTAAAGAAGTTCCCTCTGCACACAGAGCTCAGAACGTGGAGGAAACTTCTCCTCATCTCTGGCCACCGCGCTGTGACCAGCAATAATTCAGTAAATGTAAATTTACTGAAGTTGTAGATTAGTGGGTGAAACAGCCCTGTGGAAGGCTCTGCGTGGAGACTTCCCCCCTCTGGGCAGGGTTTGCTCAATCTTTTTGCAGCCTCATGCAGAGCAGGGAGCTTTACCCAGCGAGGCTGGCAAGCTCAGGGTGGGTGAGGACACAAAAGCCCAACACGAGGATTTTCAGTGATGCAACAGAGTTTTAATGAGAACGAAAAGAACACAAACAACACGGCAACATCAGGGCTGTAAATGCAGGCAGAGCTTGAAAGACACCTCAGTCCGTCACTGCATTCAGCCACGGGGGTGATAAAGAAGAAGATAACGAGGAATTAAAACCCACAGAGGTAATCAGGAAATTATTTAAAGGGAGGAAAAATCTGCATTTTGCTTTGCCTTTCTGCATCATCCGGAGGGTTTTCCCTAGGGTTTAGCAGGACCCCCAGAAGCTGCGGCTGTAGCGCCCGGAGCCAAAGGCTCTGCCAGAGCCATACAGACCCCGGTACCCCCCATAGCCCCACAGACCCCCATAGCCCAGGGATCCGTAGCCCCCGTATCCACAGAGACCCCCATATCCACCAGATCCATAACTCCCATATCCCAGGGATCCATAACCCCCATAGCCCCCATATCCATAGCCCCCATAGCCCAGGGACCCGTAGCCCCCATAGCCCAGGGAGGCCCCAGAGGCTCCAAGGAATGGCGCTCCAGCAGATCCCACCACGGAATCCTGCGGGAAGGAGCTGAGGATGGGCCCGGGGAAGGTGACCACCACGGCGGGAGGCTGGATCACGGCGGTGGAGTCGGGGCACTGGCGCACACACGGCTCGTTCCCGGTGTCAGCCAGGGGCTGGGGCCGGAGGACGCCGCAGGCAGAGGAGGGGTACAGGTCGTAGCAGGACATCTTGCAGGGATTGGAGGTCAGCACAGGCTGGAAAAGAAGACAAGGACTTCAAAACTCAGAAATTTCCATTAAAATAACCAGCAGAGTGTTCTGAGTGTTCCCCACTTTGCAATCTCAGTGCTGATTTTACCATTTCAAACTCCAGCACCAAATAGAAATAAAACCATCACGACACAATCCAATTATTAAGAGTCTTAGAACCCTTGTGGATGATCCCAACCTTGACTAAAAGCAGCAGAAAAGAGAGACTGGAATTTTCTAAGAGGAGAGATCCCTTGGAATGGTGCTTACCTTTCTCAGGGAGGTGAATGAAGCGAGGAAGGCGAAGTGAAGAGCCCCGGGTTGGGAGAGCTTTTATACCATTCCCAAGCTCCCGGAGATCATCTAAGGTGCAATTTGGGGATGTGCATAATTGGGGCAAACCCCAAATGAATGCGACACGTAGGTCCTCAAAGTTCTGCTGACTCTTTGTTTGTTTGCTGGCCCGAAGTCTCGTGAAACGCAATCGGTGTGTTTCGTCACAGAACCCTCTGGAATGTGACAAGTCGCCTTCATTCCTGTTATCATTCCATTCACAGCCCAGGTGTTAGAGCAGGAATTATCCCAATGTTCTTCCTGAGCTCCTCCATCACTAATGGCAAAACCTTGCTCGGGGTCACCCCATGCGCAGAGCTTATTTTCATTAAAAAATGAAAAAAAAAGAAAAAAAATCTGGGGATGAAATGATTTAGAGCAAATTTTGGGGTGGTCGTTTTTATCATGATCAGTTCTGAACTGTGCGAGAACAATATGGAACCCAAAGGAAGGCACGGAAAGCATCCGGTGGTCCTTGAATTGTTTTTGTTACAGAATATTGGAATTATTTGGGTTGGAAAAGCCCTCCAAGACCATCGAGTCCTGACTGATGACATTCCCTGTTTTCCTGTCCCTTGTCCCCTGGGACCAGAGCCTGTGGTTGCCCCATCCATGGAACTATTTTGAATAAAACACGGCTCACGAAATTCCGAGTTTAATTCAGAATCTTTTATTTCAAATTCTTTTCCATTGGGAAAAAAACCCGAAGGGGCACAAACTCCCAGTGTTCGGCCTTGAACTGGTGATAGCAAGGACACAAATATCTTGACTGCGGTGTTTGAATGTGATGTCATTCCATAATTGTGAGGCACCTAAATCCAGCTCCGTGCCTTTAATCTACAGGATCATCTACAGGATTTGCATGGACTTGCTCCCTGGAAGCTTGAAAAGATAATTGCCCAAAGCCCCCTGTCCCCCAAAGGCTGAGAACCCCACCTCACCATTTAGGGATCATCCACGGCGTGGAGTCTGCAATATTAAAATGGCCCGTCCATAAACCAGGCAAGAATGAGCCTTCGTGTCACGTGTCCCGAATTCCTGATTGTTCCCTCACCCCAGAAACTTCCAGCTCAGCCCTGTTTGGGATTTACGATTTGCGTATCACAGGAGGTCATGAATTCCTAAGAACCCAAGGCAATGATTCAAAGCGCTTCCGTCACATTTCCACTTTTGCACTGGAGATTCAATTTTTCCTAAAAAAAAAATCCCACATTTCCTTCAATGTTCTCAGTCTTTTTCCGGACAACTTCGGACCATCAACAGCTGGGAAAGGTCTTTTCAGGACCTCCAGCTGTGGCTTTAACTTTGTGAGTTCATTCCTCGTTTCTCTCCTAAACCCAAACAAGCCTCAGGAAGACAAAGGCTCCTCTCTGTCTCCTCCACGGAACTCTCTGGACTTGGCCAAAATGAAGGATTCCACTGTTTTTCCTGCTCAGGATTAAATTCCAGTGTAATTTGTGATTCCGATAAACCCATGAGCCACTCCGTTCAGTTAATACCAAGAGGAGCTGGCTTGGCGATTCCCGACGCAATTCCGAGGAAGCGACAGGAACAATGCCGGCTATCAAGCCGTCACAAGATCAAAGAATTCTCTATAATCTCAGGTGATGTTTAGATCATGATTACAAACAAATTTGAAAGGCCTCATAAACGCCAATAATGAGCCCAACAATTTCATCACGCTGATGGTTGCGTGAGTTTGAAATTGGGGCGGGCAAGAGACGCTGATCTGGTACCTCCAGCTGATATAAAGCTCCTGTGCCTCCTCACCCCTCCAAACACTTCCCTTGACTTCTCGGAGACTTGGGTAAGTCTGAATCTTCTCCGTCTCGCTCTCGGTGTGTTTTTCATTGTCGGCTTCAACTCGAGTTGATGGCCAGCATCCTTTCTGTTGGGTGAATCTGCACGGGCTTGGGGAAGATCAAGGACCTTTCCGTCTCTGGGGTGGCAGGTACAACTTTTTGGGGGTGTGGAGTTCTTGGTGTCAGGAGCACCAGGTCTTGGAGTAAATTGGGCAGAGTAAACCGAGGTGACTGGATCCCCTTCCCTACGGAGCCAGGCTGGCAGAGCTGGGAATGTTCAGCCTGGAGGAGAGAAGGTTGTGTGGAGACCTCACAGCACCTTCCAGGATCTGAAGGGGCTCCAGGAAAATTGGAGAGGGATTTTTCCTCAGGAACTGCAGGGACAGGACACAGGGAATAGGGTCAGACTGACAGAGGGGAAACTTAGGTTGGATATTGGGAAGAAATATTTCCCTGTGAAGGCAGGGAGGCTTTTGGACTGGATATTCCATGGATTCTCCATCCCTGGGAGTGTCCAGAGTCAGCTGGGACGGGGCTTGGAGCAATCTGGGATAGTGGGAGGTGTCCCGGACCTTTAAGGTCTCTTCCAACCCAGGCAATTCCAAGGTTCTCTGGCTTAGTTCTGAATAATCCTGCAAAGATCAGGGAGCTGGACTTGAGCCTCTTGAGTCACTTCCAGATTGAGGAAGCCTGTGATTCTCTGACCCTCACCTGTACACTGAACCCATCTCAAAGTTTGCATAAAAGGTTGGAGATCTGACAAACGTGCCACCCCTGCAGCCATTTGTGTCCTGCTACCACAAATCCTCTCCTTCACCTTCTTGCTTTCAAGCTCCTCCTCAAAACTCTGTTAAGGATTTACAGAACATCGCTAGAGATTTGTTCTTTTATTGTCTCGTCAAATGCCTTTCTGGGAAAGGCAGGCACTCACAATCCTATAATCTGTTGTTCTCTCGACTCTCAGCAAAATTGGGATGAGTGGGAAGATGAAGCTACTGTAATTAAGTTCTCTATAAGCTCCATCTCATGCAAACCTGCTGAACCCAAATCGGAGTTTTCCTAATGACTCATCCAGTGACCTTGGACAAAGTCACTTTGCTCTCGCTGCTTTTGCTTCCCGGTTTTCAGTTTTATGTGGAGAAATAAGTCATGGTTCGTCTCAGGATGTTACGAGGGACAAGGTTTTCAGAACATTTCCCACTTGCTCTTGTGTGCAGACACCCTTTATAGGATTTTTGAAAAAAAACCCCACTTTTTGGAAAAAACGAGAAATGAGATTGCAAAGTGGGAAACACTCAGAACACTCTACTTGTTATTTTAATGTAAATTGCTGAGTTTTGAAGTCCTTGTCTTCTCTTCCAGCCTGCGCTGATCTTTTAACCATTGAATTTCTGTCTTCTGCTCACTCCTCAGTGTCTGCTGACCTCCAATCCCTGCAAGATGTCCTGCTACGACCTGTACCCCTCCTCTGCCTGCGGCGTCCTCCGGCCCCAGCCCCTGGCTGACACCGGGAACGAGCCGTGTGTGCGCCAGTGCCCCGACTCCACCGCCGTGATCCAGCCTCCCGCCGTGGTGGTCACCTTCCCCGGGCCCATCCTCAGCTCCTTCCCGCAGGATTCCGTGGTGGGATCTGCTGGAGCGCCATTCCTTGGAGCCTCTGGGGCCTCCCTGGGCTATGGGGGCTACGGGTCCCTGGGCTATGGGGGCTATGGATATGGGGGCTATGGGGGTTATGGATCCCTGGGATATGGGGGTTATGGATCTGGTGGATATGGGGGTCTCTGTGGATACGGGGGCTACGGATCCCTGGGCTATGGGGGTCTGTGGGGCTATGGGGGGTACCGGGGTCTGTATGGCTCTGGCAGAGCCTTTGGCTCCGGGCGCTACAGCCGCAGCTTCTGGGGGTCCTGCTAAACCCTAGGGAAACCTCCCGGAGTACGGAATAACCGGAATAAACAGAGAGAGACGCAATCCTGGCCCCATAGGAGATGTTGTGACCACGGCCACCCCACTCGGGTGGGGCTGGAAGCACACAACTCCTCCTTGATTCATCTGCCTTCTGCTTGTCATCTCCTGGGCTTTTCTTCCCATCCCTGTGTGCGCAACATGTGGGATCAAACAATAATTTGTGTTCTCCTAAAATGCAAATTCACCGTCCAGCTGGAGAAGAGCAAGCCTGGAAGGAGCTGCCTGCAATCTGATATTCTTCATATTCTGCCATTCTGCTTTTCTGTGAATGCTTTTTCCTCATTAAAGTGATTCTGTTCTGCAAAAAACAAATGATGTTTCAGTTTTAATTTCTCTGGCCCTGGGTTTGCAACACTTCTCTCTGTACAGCGGGGGGAAATTCATATCCTTACAATAGGCTGAGGTTCAGACTTAAAATCCACCTGGAATGTCCCAGCTGGGGGTGAAGTCAGTCACTGTTCCTTCATCCAGACTCTGGGAGCAGGAATCCTCCTGCTTTTCTACCTTTGAGTTTTTACCTTTAGTAATTTTAAGTTACATTTCATAAAAAAGGTATTTTCTACCTTTTAATTTTTCCAGGTATCATTTTCCCAGGTTCTCTCTGCTCTAACTTTTCTTGCCAGTGTGAATGAATCCTTGAAGGAGCTGATTTTCTGTCAAAAACCATCCAACACTTTACATTTCATGATTATACAGAAAGATTTCAGATTTCAAAGTTCCACTTTGAAAAATTTTATTTAAAAATTCGGCAGGAAATTGATTTAACTTCTTGCCAAAATTATTGTTGAGGACAGAGTTCAAATATTTGACTGAGGAAATGTTTTGAGTCAGAGCCTGAAGCTCAAAGAGATGAAAGCTTTACCTGGAAGAAATTCATACTGAAATCTAATCTTCCCTGCTTTTTTGGGCAGGACATTCATCTCCACACTTTTGGGACATCCACAGTTTTGGATGAAGCTCTGAGCAACCTGAGGGTGTGGGATGAGATGAGCTTTAAGATCCCTCCCAACCCAAACCATTCCATGATTCCAGGATATTTTAGGCTGTTTCTGACACCTGCACAGGTGAGGCTTCTCCAAAGGCAAATAGCAATGGAGAAACCAGGAGAGAAAAACACCAGAACATGGCAACTTTGATGCAATAAACTTTTAATGACAGCAAGCAAAGCAATGCATTTACAGAGTCTCCAAGAAAGCAAGAAACTCTTCCCCAGCCAGAGGCACATTCACATGTGATCGATTCGGCCTCTCTTCCAAATCCCAGCTGCTGATGTGAACAAACAGGGCCCATTTTGAGCCCTTTTGTTCCTTATTTACCCCAGGCAACACAGAAACGGGGCGGGAGTAGCTTTAAGGCAAAAGCTGAAAGAGGAGAAATTCAAAAGGGGCTGAAGAGCTGCAAATCCGTGGTCGTGGGATGGAGCAGCGGCGGTTCCAAGCTCTTTGCCTGTGAAACCATCGCTTTCCATCTGCTGGTGAGACCTCACTCGGGATTTTTCCCCTGGGGTTTACCAGGAGCCGCAGCTGCCGCGGCCGGAGCGGCCGGACCAAGAGCCAAAGGATCTCCCGGAGCCATACAGGCCCCGGAACCCCCCGTAGCCCCCCAGACCCCCATAGCTCAGGGATCCATAGCCCCCGTATCCACAGAGACCCCCATATCCACCAGATCCATAACTCCCATATCCCAG